ACATAGACCGCCTATTATTGACAATTGCAAAAAAAAAATTCGGCAATCTCTTTTGTATATATATATATATATATATATATATATATATATAGAGAGAGAGAGAGAGATAGATAGATAGATAGATAGATAGATAGATAGATAATGAAACAATTGTGCTGTAACATTTTTCAGAAGTTATAATGGCGGTATATCGAAATTTTGACACATTATTTTAAATTGTGTTTCAAACTGTAAATATCTGACCATACTGCAACACAAAACAGGCTACTGTTTTAAGTAGAGTGACATGTCCCATGTAATACATCAGAGAAATATATTACAATGATTTCCTAGACTTTCAAAAAAGGAATGTTATATTATTTTCACTTAGAATCTCGCCTTAAAAATGATAGTTACAATTTTAATACGTATTAACTTTTTTTTTATTTAAGTTTTTAAAATGTTGACGTCTTCCGGTAATCTTGATGAGTGACAGAACTAATTTCAACTCGGAATTAATTTCAACTCGGAACTAATTTCAAGTCGGAACTAATTTCAACTTGGAACTAATTTCAACTCGGAATTAATTTCAGCTCGATTTAAACTCAAATTTATCAACTTTTGTCAATTCCTAAACAAAATGCAGTCAGTTGGTATTAATTTTTTAATTTAGCATTAAACATCCTTAGTAGATAAGATAATTCAGAATTCATCTTTTTTGCAACTTTCATTCATTAGTTCCAAGTTGAAATTAATTCCGAGTTGAAATTAGTTCCGAGTTGAAATTAATTCTGCACCACATCTTGATAACACAGGAGGGTGTCGCATCTCTTTGCTTGAAAAGTACTGTTGCATTATTTCACTTAGAATCTCCCCTTAAAAATATAGATAAAGAAATAAATTAAAAAGAAATAAAATGAACCCTTTTCTCATCATGTAAAAAGTAAAATAAAATCAAACAATAAGAAATAGAAAGACCTTAATCAGCTGATACCGTTCCCAGAATTCCAAAACATAACTCTACCACATTTTCATTACTTCCCTTTGCTGGGATCGGACGTCAGTGATTGACTCTGTTAACCTGACTTGAAATCACAATAGAAAGTACTATAAATTCTTATCCTCCTTTCAAATAACAACAATGCTCCCCTCTACTTGCATATTATAGCTTGTATTCAAAGAAGAACGTGATTTCGCCTTGTGAATGCCAGCAGTATTAAAGAAAACTTACCGTTTCCTTCTGTGTTTGTTGACTATGGACGCTTCAGAGTTAGAGAATTACTTTACGCCCGTTAAAATTTAAAACCCAAGTTAGTGAAGAACCTAATTACGGGCATTGAATAACTTTCAGAATAGATAAAATCATCGCATCATACATGAGCCTTTTCAGAGTATCTTAAAATCAATCGTGATAGTTATTTTCTCAAACTTTCCGAATCTTAATATTTTTTATTTGCTGTTTTTGTATTTAAATTTTGACACTATTGGCATATTCTGGTACTCTCAGTAACACAGGAAGATGTCGAGTCTCTCTGCTTGAAAAGTACAGTTCTCGAGAATACTGCTTTTGGTAAACAAAACTTTTCTTTTTCAAAACCTTAAACAGAAGTATTGCTAGAACAGATTTTCAAGAAAATATAAACCATAATTTTTATTCTAAGGCATGTTTGATTTTTATTATTTTTTTTTTTTTAGATCTGTTGCGTTTTCTTTGTTTTTTTTAGAGGTCCATTGTTTTTCTTGTGTCCGTTCTTTCGTTGTAAAATTTAAGCGTAAAAAAATGTATATATTGATATTAGTGGTAATAGCGGTGAAGTGTTAAATCAAGGAAACAATGAAATACGGGAAATTATCAAATAAATAATTTAGCAAAATACTTGCCATTGAAACACGGATAAAAAAAAACAGTACAGGAACATTGAAGGAACTTAAGAATTGTTCAATGTCCAAGAGCAAAGATTTTGTTTCTATAACTGTAAAGGAACAATATTCACAACAGGCTTTTTTTTTATAATTCTCTGAAGGCTTTGCTTGATTTCATGTTGCCATTGTAAACATTTCTATGGAATAAATTTTCGCCTTGTTTCCATTCGTGAGGTTGGCTTTGTTTTGTTTTAAGCCTTTTTCCCCTTTGCGATCATTCTTTGAATTTTTATTTGATTAATTCATATCATTATTCAGATCACTTGGTTATTTCAGTTACAGAAAAGAATAAACAAGATTTTTTCCTTAATAGAATAACAGAAATGGCGTGAAAAAAGATAGAGATATAAAGATAGACAATGAACACATTGAGATAAATAAATTGACAATGAACAGATTGAGATATATAGATAGATAGATAGATAGATAGTGAATAAATTAAGATAGATATTTAATGAACGGATTGAGATAGATAGATAGATAGATAGATAGTGAATAAATTAAGATCGATAGATAGTTAATGAAGGGATTGAGATAGATAGATAGATATATAGATAGATAATGAATACATTTAGATAGTTAATGAAGTGATTGAGATAGATAGATAGATAGATAGATAGATAGATAGATAGATAGATAATGAACGGATTAAGATAGATAGATAGTGAATAGATTAAGATCGATAGATAGTTAAGGAACGGATTGAGATAGATAGATAGATAGATTATAAATTATGATTTTCTAGACTTTCCCAAACGGAATGTTGCATTATTTCACTTAAAATATCCCCTTAAAAATATAGATAAAGAAATAAATTAAAAAGAAATAAAATGAACCCTTTTCTCATTATGTAAAAAGTAAAACAAAATAAAATAATGGGAAATAGAAAGATCTTAATCAGCTGACATCCTTCCCAGAATTCCAAAACATAACTCTTACACATTTCATTACGTCCCTTTGCTGGGATCAGAGTGATTGACTCTGTTACTCTGAATCCTGAATCCGGACTTGAAATAATAAAAAAAAATGTACTATAAACTCTTACCCTCCTTTAAGATAACCAAAGCACTCTCCTCTACTTGCGTATTATAGCTAGTAGTCAAAGAAGAATGTGATTTCCTCTCGTGAATGCCCGCTGTATTGAAGAAAACCTACCGTTTCATTCCGTGTTTGTTGACTATAAACCCCCTATGAGTCAGAGAATTACTTTACACCCATCACAATTTAAAATTAAAGTTTGTAGAAAAATTAATTATGACTTTCAGAAAATCTAGGATCATCGAACGATGCATAAGGAATTACACGAATTAAAAACTCTTATATAACTTTCCGTATGAACACTAATGAGTATGTCCCAATCCCCATAAATACATTGGACACTATTGTAAATGGGGGTAATAAGCTGTCTAAGTAGTCCATCACTAGAAGTAGTTTACCTATTTCACGTCGCTGGCGAGTATTGTATTTTGTTGATGTTACCATTTCATTTCCAACTTCCGTTTTGGTTATTCCTCATTTAGTCACCCTTTCTAGGTTAAAACAAAAACAATAAACGAAAAAAAGGAATGGAGTTCGTCTAAACATTTGCTATGAAAGTAGCAATAGGCTTTTGTCTTTGCGTCTGTTGAAAAGAGAGAGTTTAACAATTAATACTTAGTCTTTTCTTCTTGCTTTTCTCGGTTACCTTGTCTAATAATTCTTTCAGTTTTTTCTTCTTAATCCCCTACCAACACAGTTTTATCTGGATCGTCTGTTTTGTTATTTTTATTTCCGCTGATAACAAACTTTAAAAGGTCTTCTAATAAGGCCCAAGAGACACTCAAGGTAGAGGATTACTGTGTGTTATTGTATGAGGGTAAGAATGGGCAAGAAGTGAGGTTCATAGGGTTATGCAGGAGAGATAACCCTAGAGGTGAATAGGTCAAGACTTACGTTGTTGCGAAAAAATCCCACAAAGCAACAGTTCTTGGGAAGAGGCTCTCCGAATGGAACTTACTCCTTGCTAATAAAATACGAAGGGAATGGGGGTGATGCAAATTTGTGAGCATTGGATGTTGGATCCCAGTTGTAAAGGATCGTAGCTGTTGGGATTAAGGAATGTAGCCCGTCAGAACACAAGCCAAAGTAATAGCGAGAGTCACGCAACATTTCGTCTGAGGCAAAGGGGGGTTGTAGGGGGAAAATGATTTATCACCCACAAGGCCGCGTAGACGCTTTTAAACTCTATCAAGACAGGCAAGTGAACACTGGGCAGTTCCAGCCGAGATATGGTAGCAACACTTTATTTTAAATATATCCAGTGAGAAGACATATCTTTGTTATTTATATCTACGTAAAATTCTTCGCCTCTACAAGTGAAAAGTTATAAGTGGAGGAAAAAGTTTTAATGGACTTATGGAACCCAAGTATTTTTAATGAGGTTCATTAAAATCAATTCGTTAATGTTTATTGTGTCCGAACACAGTCTCATTAATTTTTATATAAACATCTCCTCACGCGAAACAAATATCTTCAATTTTTCTACTAGTTCCCTGTAAGCGTAATGGCCATTAAATGCTGCATATGTTGACAGCCAGTCAGGAGTTCTTTATTTTTTAAAATGCCATATCATTACAGGATGAAGTAGACTATAACTCTCCACAGTTTGACTTTGCCTGTGTAGCACCATAATGTCTTGGAAACATAGTGGAGTGCTTTTCTGTTGTTTTCTCTACTGTCTGGAATTCAGAGTAGAAAATATAAATTACTAGTAGTATGGCCCGGCGTTGCCCGGGCTGGATTCAAAAATCGTACACACACACACACACATACATACATACATACATACATACATGCATACATTATCGTCCATAAAGAAATACGGGCCTGCCATTTTCGACCAAACATACCAGGATTTTAATATTTCAAAGGGACCCGTGCACAATCAAAACTGATATTATTAGATATTATTTATTATTATTATTTATTATTACGGTCACATTACGTTGAAAGACCGATTCTTGTACAATCACCGAAGTTAAGCAACATCGGCCCTGGTCAGTATCTAGACGGGTGGCGGCTTGGGAATACCAGGTGCTGTAAGATTGAATGATATGGTTTATGGCGATATCACGTTGAAAGACCGCTTCTCATGTGATCGCCGAAGTTAAGCAACATCGAGCCTGGTCAATAACTAGATGGTTGGCCGCTTGAGAATACCAGGTGCTGTAAGTAAGCTTGGAAGTGGGGATGGTGCAATGGATAATGTCTCAGAATTTCTTATCGGATAGCCATGTTTCAGTTCCCGTTCACTTACGCGCAAATACCATTGGGAAAGTTAGTAATCCACCTATTCCACTCCCACCTATGGGTTAATTAGTAAAACTCGGATCGGTAAAACATTTTTATCTCAAAAAATATTTTACGAACTAAAAATATTTTCTGGCTTTAAATAACATGCAAAATGTTGATAAGCTGTAGAATACGAACCATTCAATCAATTATTACCAAATTTTACAGCATTGAACTCGAAAACATTAAAATATTATTTACTCATTATACTCAGCATCGATAAGAAATATTAAACAAATTCCCATGTACAGTGATAAATACTGATAATAACGTTTTCGTTTTTTTTCCACATATTCACCCTGCTGTCTACTGATTATTATTATTATTATTATTATTATTTTCTTTGATGTTTGGATACTCATTTCTTCCCGGGTCCCAACCAGAGACTTAAGGTCAAAAATGGAATCATTACATTTACCACTGAGCATTTAAAAAACAAAACAAACAAACAAGAAAAAAAAAACAACTAAGATCATACATGTTTTCATTAAGCATCCCCCCCCACAACCAAGGCGGAAGTGCCACTAGCACGCAAGGGGTTACTTTGAGTGGGAGAAAGAGTAAAGAGGCGTGATAGAGGATGAAGAGTCAGACTGGAAACAGATCAAGGCACCAGAAGATGTCGATTGACATTACATTTAATTTTTTGAAGATTGCAGATATCAGGCAGCAAGTAAGAGGAAGGTAGTTCCACTGTCGGGAAGTGTCGGAGCAGAAGAGGCGTTCACATTTAACTGAATCGACAGTAAAAGAGTGGGACGAAAATGTCAACCTAGTAGCACGCGCAGTTAGGGCACCAGTGAAAATAAACAGAGAAAGTGACTGCAGTTGAGATGCCAGGTCAGGATCTATCGCATTGCATATCCTTCTTTGGATTTTGTCGAGAACCTCGAGATGAACATTTTGGGCACCAGACTATATATGTTAACAGTTCTCCATGCAAGGATGAATGGTAGATTTGTAAATTTGAAAGATGGATTCAGACGAGAAAAACCTTCTAGCGCGACATAGGGAACCAACTTTGCTTGCGGTAGATGTAGCCATTGATTCAATGTAGTTGTTCCATTGCAGGTCAGTGCAAAACGTGAGATCAAGAAAGCGCTATGAGACGCTCTTGTAAAGTTGAGCATCAGCCATCATTTGATAAGATGCAGGGACTTTTCTCTATGCTGGGTAAATGAAAGCAGGAAACGTGGTGTTCATAGCATCGTTATGTAACAGCAAATCCACACAATTTTAAGCAATGCTTCAGCAATTCTTCGGAATTCTCTGTCACAGTTTCTCTTGTTTCTTATTAGAATGCCCAGACAATTAAATTTCCAAATTTCCTTGATGTTTATGTCTCCGATACGTAATTCATGACATTGTAAATTATTTAAAATCGAAACACGTTTTGGATTGTAAAAATAATTCTTTTTTTTTTTTTGCGAGTGAATATTGCATGAACAAGATTTTAAAAATAACGATTTTTACAGATACAACTCCTACTATTTCCCGTCCTGGGTAAGACGTTAAACTACATCCGCGACTTGGGTAAGACGATAAACTACATCCAGCAGCAAGGCCTCTGATCAGGAGGTTTTGAGGAGCGTGGAACCACCTATTAATTGCTGATGTTCCCAGGTTCACCCTGACCCGGGGTGGTAGCACCTATTAGGGTCCCAGCTATGGGCAAATAGATAACTATTACCAGCAATACTTTTTTTTAAAAAACATTATTACCAGGAATACAATTTTGAAGGAAAAATATTACCAGAAACAGATTTTTGACAAAACAAAATATTACCAGCAATAAAACGTTTTGTCGGCATTAAATAACCCATTGAGGTTGATATGCCGTAAAACAAAATAAACCAAACCAAACCTACTATTTGGCACATAATTGGAGGAGGGAGATGGATTCATGCCTTCCATTTGCGCATAGAATTCGACTGGCAGTAAAAGAATAAATAAAACAGTAAACATCGTCATGATTTAACACTGACTGTACTTGAAACCTGTATGTAAAGATGAGGTTTCAGATATTTTTTTTTATTATCGATCAAAGAATTTACCATTATTTCGCCAATCCCTTGCTTAGATTTATATATTTTCGGCACTAAATGTTTCTGTTGGTCAGGGAAAAAAATAGGAATATGTACCTACAATTTGTAATTTTGACTTCATACTTAAGCAAAGTTTAGAATTCGATTTGTATGACAGGTGTGATACCCCCATTTGACCCCTTGATGTCTGGATTCCCTCGTGTTACTGTATCAGTTTTGTTTTATTGCTTTTCTGGGTTCTATCGAGGAAGGTATCACACAGAGACAGGCGAAATCGTCACAGTAGGGTATGATAAATATCAATATATACAAGTAGTCACAAAGAAGAAGAATCAATTCATACATACATACATACATATATATATATATATATATATATATATATATATATATATATATATGTGTGTGTGTGTATACACACGCACACATATATATGTATATATATATATATACACTCACACACACACACACACACACACACATATATATATATATATATAATCATTTATTTAAAAATTATAACATAAATATGTTATAAAATCACTACAAAAATAGCCATTTTGTTTCAACACCTCTGGTATCTTATCAAGCGATGATGTTGGATATAGATTGTGGAATAAAAGTTTTAAAAGGTTCAAATGAATTAGCCACCCCTCGTAAGGGGAAACGCTGTTACATGAGCTGAAATCACCAATCAAAAATACTTGTATTTTGATTTTATAACATTCATGTTATAATTTTTAAATAAATAATTATATTTGCTCTACTCTGTATTGAGCACTCTTTTAAGAATAGTATTTGTTGGTTATTGGAATTTATCCGTATACACCAATCATATACTTTATATATATATATATATATATATATATATATATATATATATGTGTGTGTGTGTGTGTGTGTGTGTGTGTGTGTGTTTGTGTGTAATACCAAATTGTATTCCAAAGAGGGCTTTTAGTTCATATGAGAGCTCAATGTATGATACAGAGCAAATTAAAATAATAAGTAGGAAAAAACTTAAAAATCCATTGTCGATAATAAATTTATTTCGATGAATATAGGTATATTTATTACAATGTTGACTTTTGCATCTGACAGTAATATAAATTTTGGGAACATCAGTGAAATGGAAGGGAGGAATGTCTTTAATTGTCAGTGTTTCAAAGAGTTTTGCATTGCAATCGCAAATGTCAGCTTCGAGTTTTCGAAAAAGATTATTCATGATTTAAACATTTTTCTAGCGAGATTTTGAGATCTCGAGAGAATTGAGAGTGACATTCTTCTGTTCCAGAATCAATTTGATTGTAACCTTGATGACATGCCAGTTGACCTACAGTTGGAACTCATTGATTTGCAAGCAAGTGACTTGTTGAAAGAGCAGCACAGAGAAAGAAAGCATCTTTAATTTTATCGCTGCTAACCTAATGATGAGCTTTCACAGTTGAAGAAATTTGTCTCTGGTATGGCATTAGTATTTGAAACAACTTATGTCTGTGAGCAAACATTTTCAAAAATGAAGTATGCAAAGTCAGCACATCGAACGAGGGTGACTGATGAACCAATTCTCTTGGTTGGATGCAACAATTCCAAAGCAAATATTGATTCTATCTTAAAAGGTAAGCGCCAGTTTCACAAATCTCACTAAACTTTTTTTGCTGTTAAGTTTGTGATATTCGGATATGTGCGCACTGGGTGTGATATAACTATTTTATTGGTAATGTTGTTATCTTCTTCGACAGCTTTTTGGTAAATAAATGTTTTTTATCTTTATTTTTGTGTATTCAGCGTATTTTATTGAACAAAATGGTTATCCGGCCCGTCTTTGTCATTCTCTGAGTTATCTGTCCCTCTGTGAAAAAGGTTTGGTGACCATTGGTCCTGACAATTACATTTAGTTTCTTTTCTTTTTCTTTCTGTTTTTATTACTTTTCTTATTAAATGTCGCACATTGTGATAATAGACCTGCCACAAAAAAACAAAAACAATTTCCATTTTGTCATAGTTTTCTCAAAAATTGTTCTTGATATGTAAATAGTGATTTTCCAAGCGTAGCTTAGATGTGGCACGAGGCCGAAAGTAGGGGGCACCCAGTGAGGATCGAACTCACTACTCAGTCGCAATTGTTCTAGTGAGGTAAGCTTACTAACTATTACACTGCCTCGAGGTGCCCAAGTGATTTTCCAAGTGTAGCTTAGATGTGACACAAGGCCGAAAGTAGGAGGCACCTAGTGAGGATCAAACTCACTACCCAGTCGTAATTGATCTAGCAAGACAAGCTTTCTAGCCGTTACACCACATCGAAGTCCCCCCTTGATATGTAAATATTTATATATCGTGTTCCCCATATATATACACTACAGTTCAACTGTATGAAGCTACCCGCAGAATAATGTGGAATAAACTAGACAAGAGAGTTAAAAAAAAAGAAGAAAAATGATGAAAAAGAGATCTTAGAGTCATTGAAAAAAAAAGAAAAAAAAAACGGAATCAATTATCAAACGTATACTTTAAGAAACTTTTGCAATGTATGCTAAAATTTGTTCTGCAGCAATCAAAGCTAAAGGAGGAATTTATATTGATGAGTGAAAAATTTAATTATAAAATGATTTTTTTCTTTGTTCATAATAAAATTTGTAATAAAAAATCATGTCTTACTTTTTTTTAACCATATATAATAATTTTCTCTTATTTAAAGTACAAAACAACCACTTTTTGGGCCAATTAAAAAAATTACCAGGGGTGATGTTAAATTTTTGAACTGTAATGTATATTGGTATAATGAATTAATGTATTTTATATTTCTAATCCGACATTATTTCTAATTTTTAAATGGCA